ACACTCTCTCTCTCTCTCACACACACACACACACACACACTCTCTCTCTCTCTCACACACTCACACACACCACTTGAACATAAAGTAATCATTCATACAGTTTGAAAAGGTTGAAGCGAATTACAAGAGTGTTCGTAATGGGCTGTTTACATTAATCTCACGTCATAAAAGCATAAAAAAAACAAGTACATTTAACCTCTTCGTGAGCGTTTGAGTGTGCGGTTAAAAACCATATCAGAGTGCCATCTGCTGTTCAAAACTAAGCTCAGAATCCATTCTGCATCGATTTATTGTCCCAGGCCTAGATCTTAGTGATTTTTTTCTCTTATAGTTTTAGAACATGACTTACACTGTTTTTCGTTGTTTCTTTTATATGTAAATGGTGCAGACGTTTTCTCTTCTTGTACAGTTCATACCAAATGTATTTGAGTATTTATGGCAGCTGATGGACGATGAGTTGTTCTTCCCTTCGCCTGTTGCCATCGTACTGCGTAAACTGGACACATGAACATTTGTGGTGTTGACGGATGGATGGAACAAGCTTCGGGTCAATCATTCCATCCGTGTCTTGCGAAAGGGTGTGACGGTTTGCACATCCAGATATATTTGCTGTAATAAAAGACTGGTGACTCGTGGCTTGTTTGGTTCGTGTGCTTCCCTCAGCAGCTGGTCGCACTGCTTGGACTAGCCTCACGAGTTAGTCATGTCATTACTAGAAGACTGAAGTCAATTTCATAAAAATGTGGATTGGTCTAATTTGAATCTCCTCTGGTTAAGTGCTAGTTGCTCAAACTAGTTCTTATGACGATCTTAAACAGTCTGAAAAACTCTTAAGTCCACAAGTTGAGGCCTAAAAAGTTCTTAGATCGGAGCACAAAGTCTTGAATTCATAAAGTCGTGGCATTCAGTATTAAAAACGAATATCTTCTTCAGTGTTTTTGTCTTGTTTTCCCGTACAAATATCTGAACATCCTAAAGTCATGATGCTGGTGACGTGAATGAAATCTTTTCTGAGAAACGTAACAAAACTGAGAGTTTACGCTTAAAACAAGAACAGATATCTGTCTGGAGGGAATTAAAGATTGTTTGAATTGAGTAACGCTGTTAAGCCCGCTGGCAGATATTTGTTCTTTCTCAACCATAAGCTCGTTTTAATCAATTTCTCAAAAAACAAGACCTTTTGTTTTTAAACCCTGTTGTCGATGTGTCTTGCTTTAAGAATCTTTAGACATTGCACTGGAAAACACTGAGGAAGAACATCGGGTTTTTCATTTTTAGGATTTCTGTATTCTAGTGTTTGTGAGCGGAGCTATTCAAGACTTCAGCTATTTCTTTGTAAAGATGGTTTAACGGTGATTTAGGAACTAAAGGAGATCGATTAGAGGTTTCGCTAATATAACTCATCGAGCTGCTTAAATTGGTCTTATATTCATCTTCAGTGTTGGGGGTAACACGTTACAAGTAGCGTAATCAGATTACTTTTTTCAAGTAACTGGTAAAGTAATGCATTGCTTTTTAATTTACAAGAGAATATCTGAGTTACTTTTTCAAATAAGTAACAAGTTCAATTTTGTTTCCAATGTATTGATTGACAGCTCTGGTGTCGCCATGGTGACAGAAATCAGATGTTACTGTAGCTCTAAAATAAATATGAATATGTATTAATTCATCTCACTCACACACAACACAGGTTCAGTATTCCTCAAAATGAATAAAAATAATGCAACTCAGAATATGACGCAAACCTGCAATAATTAAATGTTAAACAGCACAAATATGCTTTATGTATTTAATCCCATTCTATTAGCTTCTGACCTTCGATGATGCAGTTCAACCGTACTAATAATCACTAATTACTCTAGACATTTAATTGTGTGTCTTTGTTTATTGCTGAAGTGTTGAAATGTCTTCTTCTGCATTCTACTGTACTTTCCCTTCAGCCTGAGGCGCATTCATTTCACTTCTGGTGTGAAAGGCTTTTATATTTGCCAAAAATATAACTTTTTTATATTAAAAACAAACAAGCAAGCCCTGTCCAGGTTTAAAAAGTAACGTAACGCATTACTTTCCATAAAAAGTAACGAAGTAACGTAATTAGTTACTTTTTATGGAGTAACGCAACATTGTAATGCGTTACTTTTAAAAGTAACTTTCCCCAGCACTGTTTATCTTCATGAAACCTGCAGAAATAGAGGTCATTTATGCAACTGGCATCAAATCACATTATAGCTGTTTTAAAGACGTACAGAAAGCAGGCTGTGGTGTATTGCTCTTCACTGGAGATCAACCAGCTTGCTCTAGTGGAGGGAATATTTACACTTGTTTGACATGAGCGGAAAAGTCATGCATCTTAAGAAGATCCTGAACTTTAATGTAAAATCCTTTGGCAGATTGTCTCAACTTTAAAATAGTTATTTTCTAGGATCCAGAATAAATGACTCCGTGTTGTTATTTTCCATGCACTGATCACACACAGCTCCAAATGTCTCGAGATCACAGATGAAGCGAAGCGCGCGTGCTCTTCGTGTGCAGGTGGGTTTGTTCCAGCAGGTGGCGCTGGGGCTGATTTTGCGCAGTTGATTGCACGAGGAACTTAAAACCTTTCAGGTGTGACAGGTAACATGCATTCTGATGCAGCTGAGAGAGAGAAGCTCTCAGGTACGAGGAGTTTCACACCCGAGTCATTTCAGTGCTTTGAGTTGAGACTGTTTCTGCTGCAAATGCTTGATTAGAACAACTGTCCTTGCAGTGACTTGTGCAGAAAATACAAACGTACAGGATGAAGCTGGAAAAGGACAAACACGACAGAAGGTCAGAAAGATTCGTGTGCTCGTGACTCGAGCAGAGCTCTTGCATGTTGACTTGACTCAGATGTTTGCTGTGTCAGAGAGAAGAAGAAGTCCAAACGCTCCTCTAAAGACCGAGAGAAGGACTCTGCGCTGAACGGCAAACACAAACCCTCCTCGAAGGTAAAATAAGCCCAACAGAAGCTCATTAATGAAGGCAAGATGTGAGTGAGTGAGTAATGAGTGTGTCATTAACAGATGAAGCAGTCAGACAGGCCATCTGGAGTCAGCAGGTGCGTCTCTACCGGTGCAAAACATGAAGAAAACATGCGTTTAGCTAACGTTAAACGTTCTTCCAGAATCTTCAGCACGACCCGCTTTGAAAGTGTTTAAAAAAAAAATAATTATGGGAATGTTACAATTACATAAAATGTTTTAAGAACTTGTTTTTCATGGCTATGCAAACGTAGCATTCCGCTTTATCATTCTGCAAGCATTTAGAAAACATTATTTCTGAACGTTCAAGATGCACAGTATGTTAAATGTTTAAAAAAAAAAATTTTTTTTTTTGCATGGAAAAATAATTTATAGTAGGCCTAAATACTATAGCGTTTTTGAACCATACTATAGTAAAGTACTTGAATTAATTTATTGTGCTAATTCTATAACTGCTGTGGTAATATAACAACTATAGGAACATTTACATTTAGTCATTTAGCAGACGCTTTTATCCAAATGAGGACAAGAAGCAAATGACCCAATACTGTACTAGTTTTCTACAACTATAGGGTATATTATACTACAATACACTACAGTTTACTGTAGTAAAAACTAAAGTATACTACAGTATTTGTTACAGTTTATCAGTTCACTATACAGTATTCTGTAGCATTCATTAACAAAGTGTTGTAAATACTATATATACACAGTATAATACACTTTACTATAGTATGGTTCAAAGCACTAAAGTATTTACTGTAAATTACTACAGTATTTTTTCATGTGAGTGGCTATGGGATTATTAATTTTTTAATTTGTGAACTATATGGGAGCGTTACTTTTAGATGTTCTCTGAACGTTCTGAAACTTGTAACATTTAAAAAAACATGACATGAATGTCCAACTAGAGTGTGTGTTCATAACTTTGAGAGAACCTTGCGGGAACGTTCTCGGTTAGCTGTGAGGTTCTGTGTCGAACAATAGTCTGATGTTGATGAGTTTTAGCAGCGCAGTGCAATGTGAAGCAGGAGGTGGTGGCACGCATGAGGTAAGCGCTCGTTTTTCACTTAAAATATATGAGAAATACCCCAGTTTCAATCTGAAAGTGTTTGATTTTGCACGTGTTAATTTCGCAGGATGTCAAAGTAGATCCTGATGAAAGGCAAGATATCTCGGTTTGATTGTGCTAAGCAATGAAAAATATTAGCTGCATGATGAATTTAACTTTCTAGAGTTAGAATATGGAAATAAGTTGAATCGAGAAATAGTGTACTGTTTCTTTAAATCAGAAATGATGGACAGCAGAAACCAGGTTCTCCAGAAATCAACAACAACAAAGAGAAGGTATGTTGATTTGACTTTATTTGCTTGATGTATTTGCTCCTGATGGCCACGTCTGCGGGGTTTAATCGTGTTTATTGATTGATTCTCAGACTCGATCAAAAAGCAGCAAGCAGCGTCACAATCATAAGGAGAGGACTGCAGATGTGAAGCTCTGCGGCGAGGATGAAAACCTGTGTGAATCTGTCCAGGTGAAGAAGAGGAGGGTCAAAGATGAAGAGAGCCCAGAGAAACACGATAAGAACCAGTCATCTGGGAGGAAAAGGAAGAAGACGAGTTCTGAGCATGAGAAAGCAGAGAAGAACAAAAAGACCAAGAAAGACGGAGACCAGGAGAAGAAGAAGAAGGCGGAGGAGTCTGATAAGTGGAAGTGGTACGTGTGCGCTGTTTTCCTTCAGGTAGTCTTTAATCATCCATTTGATCGTTTTAGCTGAAGTTCATACAATCAGTGAATAATGAACTTCATTTTTAAAATAAACTTAGGATAAATCAAATCTGGATTTGCTCTGTAATGTATGTGACTTTTTATTGCATTTTTAATTTATGAAGTAATATTTAACGTAATAGTGATTGAAGTAGCGTCTGTCAAATATTGGAGGACGTAATAGGACGTCTGACGTAACAGACACACACACACACTCACAGACACACACACACACACTCACAGACACACACTCACAGACACACACACACACACTCACAGACACACACTCACAGACACACACACACACACTCACAGACACACACTCACAGACACACACACACACACTCACAGACACACACTCACAGACACACACACACACACTCACAGACACACACTCACAGACACACACACACACACTCACAGACACACACTCACAGACACACACACACACAC